GAGTTAACTGCATTTCAAAAGGAACCCATTTCATGGAGAGCTTTGAAAATGAAGAGGTGTGCTTTCATCATTGCCCCAAACCTCTGTTTCCAATAGAAAACTCATTTTTTATACACTTGGAACTTGGGAAGATTCCAATCTATAAAAAGATTCTTTTAAAAGATTCTAATAAGGGTTGTTTTATATGGGTTTAATTTGCTAAAAATCTATGAAAACATCACCATCTTGTGAGTTTTTACCAATAAATAATAACATCAGCCCTGGTGGCACTATGGTTTCAGCATTGGGGTTCAAACTCACAGACTTGCTAAGAGCAAGAAAGATGAGGTTGCCTGCCTCAAAAGACTTACAGTCATGGAAACCCTACGGGGTATTCTACTCTGTCCTAGAGGCTCAGCCTGAGTCAGATCCACTCAATCGGTTTGGGTTTGTTTTTGGTAATTACATCGGGAAAGGTAGAAACTTATGAGCTGGCTGCCATTAGCAACAGATTGATTGAAAAATTGAGTAAAATCTAGTATAGAAGGCACTTCTTCCTTTTATATATTCTTTCATTTGCATCTCCTCAAAATCCTAGTGAACAGAAATGCTTTTTGCCACTACAAAGAAATAAGACACATACATGTAGCAGATAGAAAGTTATAAATACATGCTCTGCAAGAGGAAACAACCAAATAACTAGAAAACACAGGTAAACTGACTCAGGGAGGACAGAATGCATTCCTGCTTAGGAGCTAGGGAGAAGGGGCAGAGGACTTTACCACACAACAAGCCTGAGAAGACACATTTTTTGATGCACATCTTTTCCACAACGCACAGAATTGTATACTCATTCACCGCCATTGAGTTGATACCAAGTCACAGGGACTCTGAGGTTTCAAAGTGGGAGTAGAAAGCTCCATCTTCCTCCTGCACTGCTGGTGGTTTTGAACTTCCAACCTTGCAGTGAGTAGCCCAACTTGAACCACTACGCCCCGGGTCTCCTTGAAGTGTACCCTGAAGAAAGGTTAATTTTACTGAATGTAAAACATAGCTCAATAAGCCTGACTTACACAACAACAGATTAAGAAAAGGTGATTTCATTCTCCAGATAGACAAAGATCATTGTTTACTTGGGTGCTCCCATAAGTCACAATACAATTGATCAAGTGGAGACCACATGGGGCAATCAGAAGCTCTCCAAACCCACTGCGATCGAGTCATGCCCACTCACAGCGACCCTATCAGACAGGGTAGAACTGCCTCTGTGGGCTTCCAGCACTGCAGCTCTTGACACTGCAGCTGCAGACTGCAAGGTGAAGTAGCCTCATCTTTCTCCTGAGGAGCAGTTGGTAGTTTTGAACTGGTTATGTTAGGTAGCAGGATAGGGACAAGGGTTTGTCCCTCTCCATGCCTGGAGGACCTCTGCAGGAGGTGAACCAGGCAAGCCTCAGCCAGCCATAAAGACTACTGGGCGTGGGCCAATTCAAGCGCTAGCCAGGTGGGAGGTACACCTGGGGCGGCCCAAACTAGACCCTGGTGGGCTTAATTCAGCCAACGGGGTCAACCAATAACTTGACCGACCATGTCTTCCAGCCGAAGGCCCCCAATACTGCCTGGCCCCTCTGGTTCTTCTCTGCTTTCTGTTGGGCTGTGCCACAGTCTGTCTGGCCTCAGGCCGCCACGTGTGCGTGTGCAGTCCACAACATTGCCCGTGTTCAGTGACTGTAAAACAGGGGTGCTCAATACATCGATCGCGATCTACTAGTTGATCTCACATGTAGTGTGGGTAGATCGCATGGTATTAAAAAAATAGACGTTAGCCTATCATCAATCCCATTACTTAATTGATATACAGCGCAGCCAACAGATGCAAACTTAGGTGTCAAACGCATGCGCAAACAACTCTGCTAAGTGCAGCAAAACTAAGTTATTGCCAATTTTTAGAACTTGTTTTTTTTCTCTTAAACGTAAGAAAGGGTATTAAAATGAGTGGGGGAGCTGGAACAAGTAAGAAGACAAAAACATCACTTTCATATGGAATGGGAGATTTTGACACTACAAGCCGACATTCAGCTGAAGTCCAGAGCGCATGAACAGTTCTGGAACTGGCTCGCAGAGGCAAAGTGCCCAAATGTAAGAAAATGTGCTACCTCCTTGACTACATTATTTGGCCTCATTTATGTGAGTCAACAATTTCCCACATAAAGATCATTAAGTCCAAGTACTGTTCCACCATGACTGATGATCCTTTGGAAGTGTGCTTGAGGCTGGCTGTCAGCAGCTACTGTCTGGATTATGCATCCCTGGCTCATTCCACTCAGTGCAAGTCATCAGAGTAAACACAGGTAACGACAAAAAATGTACATAGTTAATTGTGTTGTGTTGTGCAACATGGACTCGTGCCATTATGCAAGGCATATAAACATACGTTGTACATATAAAGAATTCTCAATGCATTTATGAATAAATGTAATAAATAAAAATATGTTTTGCATTTTTGTTGTTGGTAGATCATTTTGACTTGATCATTTTATAAGTAGCTCGAATGCTGAAAAAGTGTGATCACCCTTGCTGTAAAACCTGACATTTCTTCTGTCCTTTATAAAAACTCACTTGGCTGCTTTGAGCAGAAGATCATCCTCGGAGCTTGGTGGGCCCAGGATGTGTTCCACTCACTCTCCTTCCCTCCTCCTTTGCTCCTGTGTGCTCTGATCAGACATGAGCAAATGTGGTGAAGAAAGCTGATGGTGCCCGACTATCAAAATATATAGCGTCTGGGGTCTTAAAGGCTTGAAGGTAAACAAGCGGCCATCTAGCTGAGAATCAACCAAGTCCACATGGAAGAAGCACACCAGCCCGTGTGATCATGAGGTGTCGATGGGATCAGGTATCAGGCATCAAAGAACAAAAAATCGTATCATTGTGAATGAGAGGGAGTTCATTGCGGAGTGGAGACCCAAAGCCCATCTGTAGGCAACTGGACATTCCCTTACAGAAGGGTCACAAGGAAGAGATGAGCCAGTCAGGGTGCACTATAGCACTGAGGAAACATACAACTTTCCTCTAGTTCTTTAATGCTTCTCTCCCCATCCCTCCCCCCACTATCATGACCTCAATTCCACCTTACAAATCTGACTAGACCAGAGCATGTATACTGCTACAGATAAGAGCTCGCAACACAGGGAATCCAGGACAGATAAACCAATAACGAGAATAGTGATACCAGGAGAGTAAGAGGACGGTGGGCGGAGGAAGGGGGAACCGATCACAATGATATACATATAACCCCTTCCTAGGGGGATGGACGACAGAGAAGCGGGTGAAGAGAGACATCGGTCAGTGTAAGACGTGGGGGGCAGGGGGAAACAAATCACAAACCAGGCTTCAGCGTGAATTCTTTGTCATGCGAAGCCAAGAACACAGGTATTTCCCACCTGAAAAACCTAACTGGTGGCTCTCGTGTGTGTGTGTGTGTGTGTGTGTGTGTGTGTGTGTGTGTGTGTGTGTGTGAGAGAGAGAGAGAGAGAAAGGTGTTTTCTATAGAGAAAATTGCTTTATCTACATAAAGTTGCTTTCAGCCAAGATCCATCTGACACCAGCAC